CTGCTTTATTAAATTGGAACTTTAAGCATAGTTTTGCCTTCGACTCTGATTTAATTCTACATGGTATTTGGAAGGCTGACACATCAGTGCTACTGAGTGTGAGGCTGGCTCCTTGTTTATATACAATAGCATATCCTACCAATGTTGGTGGGGTTTTTAATTTACCCCTTAGTATTTGATTAGGATATAGTTTTCTTCTTGATTGTTTGTCTGGTGTTAATCCCTGCTTCTCTGGATATCGGCTGCTGGAGATTATGTGCTTTGGGTTTTCTTTGTTTCCTTCCTTCTTAGCTTTTTATTTTGAATGGTGTGTAAATGTAACTTATCTCTGTGTGTCTACCGATGGCTGATTTGTCTGAATGCCAAGCTTCCAGGAACTTCCTAGAATTTTTGGATTTAGCTTAATCTGCATATAAACGTGGTCTATATAAACAGGGAGCAAACACCATAGTAATTGATGGTGTTACCTTGTTTGGTAATAAAATGTCTGAAAGCAAATAACTCTGCAGTTCAACCATGATAAGAAATCAAAGAGAGGTGCAGGAAAGAGGGAAAACAGAAAGAGAAAAACAGAAAAGAAAGAATAAAGATACAGAGAACTCATTAATTCTTTACATCAGTTATAAGCACAAATTCTAACTTTCTGTGGCTAAACATAATTCCCCCTTTTCTATCATTTATCCTGTCTAATCATCAAAACAATAATTGATAACGTCATGGGTTTTTTTCCTGCTTGAAACGTTACATGTTTTCCTTGCTTTTCCTGAGAGTTATATTTTGGCAAAGTTTGTGATAGTACATTGCATTTTGGCACTTCAAATGTATGCAGTGTTGACCTTTAAAAATAATAATAATAGATGCTTTTCTGTATTTTTGTGGGTTTGTTTACGCATTGTGCTAGGCATATTTTAATGCTGCAAATAACACCATCAAATTTGGGGCAGGTGGAAATGCACATCTTGGTTACATACCTGGCTGCTAATTTGTAGTTTGGGAAACTACAAAATAGGTAAATTTATGGAGGTGGGAACAAGTATTCTCGCTTCGGGCTAGAATGAAGGCAGTTCTAGTTAATTGTATTTTGTATATGTTTTCTGCGCTATTTGGCCAGATTTCTTATTTTCTGCATTATTTATTGCAGATTGCATTTTTAAAAAATAATAATAAATCTTGTTTTGTAATATTATACTAGTACTCACCAGGAGGCTCTCTAGAGTTTAGACATGATCCCCAAACAAATTAATTTTAAAAATAAATAATATAATGCGCAGCTCTATTTCTTTTCTTTTTTTTTAATTTAAACCTCTTTTGGGCTCCCTCAAATGCTCAAAAAGCAAACAGAGAATATTTGATTTCTTTTTTTAGTTCAAATAAAAGTGTCCCAGTTAAGCTTCCTTGTTTAATCACCGAGAAAAGCTATCCAGAGTTCAGTCAGAGGAGTTACAACTATCAGCCATAGATACTAATAGTCAATTGTTCCTGCAGCCTGTAATTATTGAAATGTGAATATCTTCCTTAGTATGTTTTAATAGGCAACTGAAAATCTGTGATTTTTCATGATGTTCTTTTTTTTAAAAAAAGAAACATTCCTGCTTTATCGTTACGGATGTTTTACATGGGTGGAATATTATGATCTGTATTATTACTACATGACTATTACTAGCAGTATTACTACCAGTACCGGTATTAAGAATAACGGTAATTGCATTTGGGACAAAGATGGTTTTCAGATAGCCTCTTTGGAAGTCTAATGTGGCTTGATGTTATTAATAATTTACTTTGTGTTTCAGCTAAATATTTAATTATTTATTGAACGTTTAATTTATTTTGTAAATTATTAAAAGTTCTAACCTAATAATTAAAGCGATGGTGACAATTATCATCGTATTTTTAAAAATAGCAGGATTTCCCCCCCCCATTTCCAGCTGTTCCAATAATAAGAAAAATAACAATAATAATAGCAATACCAATACCAATAGCAATAACAACACCAGAAACAACAATAGGGACTAACAGCCATCACAACAAAAACACGAGCAGTAACACTAATAACAAGGGACACAGTGGCTCAGTGGCAAAGATGCTGAGCTTGTCGATCAGGAAGGTCGGCAGTTGGGCGGTTCGAATCCCTAGCTCCGCTTAATGGAGGGAGCTCCCTTCTAGAACTAAAGATGTTACCTA